ACATTTGATCTGAACCAGGCCAAAGATGGTTTTTCTTGAAAATCCTAGATACATGGATGCACAAACTGAGATACAAAATACAAGGTTTTCACTCCACTGGATAAATATTAGTCAGATGAATGTATCAGCTGCAACTGATCTATATATTATTCAATTAACTCTATAAATTTTTTCATTTAAATATTAACAGCATTAAAACACACACACACACACTTATCATTTATGATTATGCATGTGAGCATCTTAACAGCCACCTTCTTCGAAGGGGATGGTCTTCCTGTGAGAGGCAAAAGAGGGAATGTTTCTTATAAGATGGTGCCTGTCATCTGAAGAATTTTTCTGTGCTTAAATGAAAACAATACAGTGTTGCTTGATTAACCAAGAACACCTTTTTAGTCAATCGATAAGATGTAATTGATTCAACTTGGATGATGCATTGGAGGGTGAAGAGGGAGAATTCCATCTATTTTTTAACCTATATAAATATGTTATAAATAAAAGAACTACTAGTCTCTGATGTCCTCCTCCTGACCTAGAGATAAAAAGGTTAGTCAGTTGGACTCTTGACCTAAACTACATACCATGGCAAAATTTTTCAGATCTCCAAAGATAGTCATCATTACTTTGCTAGAAAGCAAAGAGTAGAACAGTAAGCACACACACACAGTCTAGGGGCAGCATTTCCCTTAAAAGCAGAATGGACAGGTATATACCTTTCATTATATGTCACCTTGGTTCTACAATACTTTATGGAATTGTACTGGAAGTTTCCCATGTATCCTCAATTTCCTAAATCAGGCTGCTGCTCGCTACTTAATCAGAACATGGGATTTTGACATTTTCAAAATTTATATATTTTGGGTTCATGGCTGTTCAAGAATTTAGGACAATCACAGCAAATTTATCAAAAGAAAGGCAATTTGACATGATCAAGGCCTGAACAGAAGCCTTCCGTCTCCTTATAACCATTCACACACTTCTGTTACAGTCCCTGGGATAAACCAGATTCCTCAGCTCCTGGGAAGTGTATAAATCTTTGACATGGCCAAACAATACAGATACAGAAACATGGAGCGAGAGTGCATGGTAAGATTTCTAGTCATATTATTTTATCACAACAACAGAGAGTCTTGCTGCACCTTAAAGACACTGCATATGCTTTTGCAGATGCTGTTCTCATGGGCAGATGCAAGAACTGTTAAGCTCAAATTGACACATCCTGGCCTTGGGGGCAGGGATGAAAACTGTGTTCTTCAGAGACAACAGAACAAAAAGTATGTGTGGAAATACTTAAATATAAAATACATCAAGAGAGTCAATTCAATTTTTGTCATGTGAATGACCTAACTTCATGAGGCTCAGGTGACTTCAGTGGCTTGGAGGGCCTACTACCAGCTTCAGTAATCTACCAGCTATGTCTCCATCTGGAGGGCAATCTTTCAGTAATCTACACTATGGCAATCTCTAAACTAGATTACTGCAATGCACTGTATGTGGGCCTGCCCTTGAAGAAGGTTCAGAATCTGCAGCCAGTACAGAATGCAGCAGCCAGATTAACACCTGGGATCTGCAGGTCCAAACACTTAAGAAAGGTTCTGGCCCACTTGCATTGGCTGCCTGCATCCTTCTGGTTTCATGTAAAGTGCTAGTTTCAACCTACAAAACCTTACACAGCTTGGGACTGCAATATCTGTTGGAGCACCACTCCCAACTGCGATCTACTTGGACACTGCTCAACTTCTGGGGCATTCTTCAAAGTTCTGACTCTGAGGGAAGCACAGAGGGTGGCAACAATGGGAGGGACTTTCTCTGTCATGCCCACCCCATCTATGGATTAACCTGCCCATTGAGCATGACTGGTGCCAAATTCGTCATCTTTTGGCACTGTGTTAAGATGGCCCTCTATGCTGAGGCTTTTAAAGATACCAAGAGGCTTGAGGGGATTGCCCATTCCAGGTGTTTTAGAGAGTCTTTCTGTTTGGTTTTAGTTGTTTTAAACCTGTTAAAATTGTTTTCTGATTTTATATATTGGTGTTGTATTGTATTATCTGTTTTATGGACTCCTGTAAACTACCCAGAGAGCTTCGGCTGTGGGATGGTACAAAAGTAAACAAGCAATTAATATAACTAATGAATGTTTTAAAAACCACAATTATGTTTCATTATTTGGTTAACCATTAATGATATTGGCATTATCACCCAACAGTATAACAAGTTAATAATCACTGTCTAAACTTTTTGTATTAAACTTCCTCTGAAAACAAATGTTAGTATTCTTGTCCTTGCTGTTTCCCATGCCCTTGTTTAATAGTTTGGAAATCTGAGATTAATACTTCATGAATTTATGAACTAGTCATTGTCCATGAAAGCTTTTTCCAAAATAGATTGTTTTAGTCTTTAAGGTGCTACAAGAGTCTTGAGTGATAAAAGTCTGTAACCTGCGCTAATGGGGTGGACTAAAAATCAAATCAAATCATAAAATAAAAATAGATAGATAGATGGAATGATGGTTTTTGAATGTTATTCATGATTGTGTTTATTAGTTGGATCAAGAAGTAGGCATATTAGTTTCTGTGATTTTGGGCAGTCCACGCCTCATCTCTTTCCCTCCTTTTCTCTTTCTATAATAGGTTACATACTCCACCCTTTGTAAACATCAGGAAGATTGTAAGGCTAAATTCATGGCTATGACCCTAACTCTTACACCTACAAGATGTGACCATACTATCACAAGTTATGGTGTTCCAGCTTAGCAATCATGAATCCTGTTAGCTTTTACCCTCCTCAACAATCCGAAAGAAAAGCCATGTTCCTTCAGAAGCCACATTCTGCATCTAAAAACATGTTTCCTTCTGTTTGATCTCAGGCAGGCAATTGTGGGAATTGCTGTTCTTTGACATTTGCTAGACTATGCAAAGCAATTCCAAGAAAACAGAACTATGCTAATGTAATGCACCCAAGCCCACCTCAAAACCTCAGCCTTGAACCAAACCCCATTAGACCTATCCCAAGCCCCCAGCTTTGTTGATGTTAGCTTTGGAATTGCTTGACTGCATTAGTTTAAAAGCCGTATGGACTGTCCAACTAGGACAGAACTGTGATCCATCTAGCCTCCTAAGGCAGCTACAGCAGATGGTGGTACCATCTGCACTTGGTGGAAATGCATGAGAAGTGACAAAGAATGACCAGAATTATTACATATGTTTCAAACTCAATTTTGGGCCATCAAGGATTATGGGAATTGCCTGGATATATATTTCTATTACAAGGTTATAACAGGTAATAGCTGTTAATAGACTTATCTTCCAGCAGTTTGTCCAGTCCCTATTACTGTTAAACAGGCTTTAATTTCATTCAAAAATGTTGATGTTGATTGCCCACAGCTGTGGACACTGAAACAATCTCAGATGAATCTGAGATCAGACCATTCCTCCCCCCTACTTTTCCATGGCCACCATGAAAAAGAGCACCAGCTGCTCTTTTTAGGTTGCAACACTGATATCAGACAAGTTCTGGGAAAGGGAAAAGTGAATGTTAGGTTAGGGAAGGAAGAAGAGAAGTCAGGATCTTAAAGTTTCTCCATCAGCTCTCCTGCTCTCAACATAGTGAGTTCCTGGCTTCTGCAGGAACTGTGGGAACTAGTTGTAGTGAAAACCTCCAGAAAAAAACAAGGCTAAATGAGCAAAAAGCCACAGAGAGGGAAATGTGGCTCACAATTGTGTCAGGAAGACCGTGCGCCAGTGGAGGGCACTGGCAGGTTCCCAGACACACTTGGCAAGAGCAATAAGGTGCTTTTGACAAATGGTTTGACAGCTGATTTCTGCTATCCACAATGGAGACAACCACCTGGATTTGAATAGCATGACAACCATTGCGGGTACAACAAACCCTAGAAGAACTAATGGGTTCTCAGGATGGCTGGCTGCCCTCAAACAAGCCATCCTGTGACAATCAGTATGACAGAACAATCCACAATGGATCATGATGTCATGAAAAATCAGTCAACACAGAAGAAAGAGCTGGGGTGGGGGCATTATTGACTTTTTTTCTAGATAAGCTAATACACAGATATGCTAAATTAGATATGCTAATACACATATGCTAATATGCTAATAGACATTAGATATGCTAATACACAGGAACAGAGTCAGAAGGGGCCTCCTGGGCCATCTAGTCTGACTCCCTCCACTAATGACATGGGTTGGGTTAGGGTTGATTGTACCTATAGATAAGAGGAGCTATGCATAGGCTGTCTTTGGATAGTAGTGAGAGGCCAACAAAATTAGCACGCACAGTTCTCTAGTTCTGAAGACAATCAGATAAGAGTGAGACTATGGAAGTGGAGATCATTTGCCCTAACATGAGCTTGCAGAGTTAAAAGGGAAGGGATTGGTTAGAACCACTTTAGACAAAAGTATACTTTGGTATCAGCTGTGAGGCATGGTGGTAATGGCCAATAACAGCTGAGAGGTAACATCTATAAGTAACACATGCAGTGTAGTTCTTGGCAGCATTCACATTTGTGATTGATCTTGCTCTCTATTAAAAAAAATAGGCCTCTGGAAATTCATTTGACACAGATCATAATCAAGGTCTTGCAAACCATCTTTGAGTGTGAGCACATCTGGGAAGGTGGACAGGAATTAAAAGTTGATATTTAACTGGAAGGATTTTCCTCAGCTGATAAAGCTAATACTTTCACAACTTAAAGAATTTCTCAGAAGAATACAGTTCTGCAAACCAACAAAGCAAGAAAGGTTCTCTTCTATGACCTCTGATTAAACAGATGCCAATATGTTTGAATTTTCCTTTCTCTCTCTCACACACACCCTAGCTTACATTTTCCAAATTGCAAGCCCATTTTCCTGAGATGTGAAAACGCAAAATGAAGTGTTCTCTGTCCTTTGGATGTGATAAAATGTAATGACCTTTAGTTTCCTTCCTCCCTAAAAAAAAATTCAGCAGCGTAGGTAGTAAGAGAAAGCAACAATGGAACTTACTCTTTAGGAGGATTTAGGTCCTCTGGTCTGGCCTCGAAGAATCGAAAGACTTCATCACACTGTGAAATGTGAGGGGGAAGCTTCACCAGCGCCTGTTGCAAGGATACATAAATAAGAAAATGACCCTTTGTGGAAACAAAATAAGAAAGAAAAACTCAAAAGTGTTAGAACACCTCAACCCCAAAGTAGCAGGAAAGGAAAAAGAACTTCTGAAAAGGACTGCTTTGGTTAAGACATAAACTAGACTATTTTGTGTTTTGCATTCAAGCTTATAAACTAGATCATCAAAATAGCTCAGAGCTGCTACCTGGTGTCCATCTATTTCACCTTTGGCTGACTTGGTAAGCTCCAGATACATTAGACTACACTTCCCATCATTTCAGCTAGTATGGTCAATGGCCATGCCATGGGAAAGATGGAAGCTGCAGACCAACACATCTCTATGGCTCAAGATTAGAAAAGTTTGCTGTAGGCTGTCTGACATCTGCCACACCAGCAATTGCCTTCACATCCTGGAAGCAACCATCTTGGTCCCATGCTAACACACAGCCATCACAGGAAAAGAAATGGTGGTTATCAGGAAGCGTACAGGATGGGTTGAGCTTGCATTTCACCAGTGATGCTGGTAAATGTTCCATCTGCATGGGGAACTACACCAGGGTCCATTCTATTAATCAGAGAGTTCTGCGGAATTATGTATGCAAAACACAATTACCACTGCTGGGGCACATGCTAATAAATATAGCCCAATTCCAATGTGTAGAAAACATGATCTTGTGTAACACACAAATGTAATTGCAGGAGAAACTGGAGAAGCTGGAAAGGTGAATGACCCTTTCCATTTCATTGTTTGTTTGTTTTTAGATCCATTAAGCCATGTATAAGTAAGCTGATGCAAGAGTGAAGGAGTGGAGTTTTTTTTTTAAAGTAATTGACAGCTTCCACCTCATAAGAAATAATGGAAAGGCAGAGAAATGCATGAGGGGGAAACAAGTAGAACCAGCACCCACATTTCTCTCCACCCAAAAGCAATTCCCAAATACAAGTGCAACCCTTTCCATACTGACTTTCCCAAGAGTAAACACAGGTGAAGAAAACGTGATCTACTTCTAGGTAAGCACCACTGAATTGAGAATAATGTGATAAACTGCCTGGCACCATCGTTATTTGTTTTTCGGCGCCAGGCCAAGACCTTTTTATTTAAATGTTATCTTAATTGTTAAATTTATTGATTGATTTTATATCTTCCCGGGATGTCTCCAGATTTTTAATGTAATTGTATAGTATTTATTTGTATTGGAAGCCGCCCCGAGGCTTTTGCGAATGGGATGGCATAGAAGTGTTCCAAATAAATAAGTAAGTAAGTAAGTAAGTAAGTAAGTAAGTAAATAAATAAATAAATTTCTGTGTAGATGTGTATTTCTGTAGCTTTTCAGCTAGCTGTTCTGAGGCAAAGACATCCCATTTTTTTAAGGAGCTGGAAGGGGAAGTAGTTTTGTATTTGTTCTCCACCAGATTTGGGGGCAGGGGGAGAGAGAGAGAGAGAGAAGTTGTGGGGAAGGGGTGGGTGCCATGACAGAGAAGGAAGCAGGAAAGCAAAAAAAAAAAAAAAAAAAAAAAAGGCCACTTGGGCTTATTTCCTGTTCAGAGTTGTCAAGGCTTCCCATGCTGAGTGCTGGCAGCAGCAACCTTCCTCACCCAGCCCTTGAAGCAATGTCAGAGGGTTGCATTATGTTCAGAGTCACACCTTCACATTAGCAAACGGTGCTTAAAAAATTAGCCTGATGAGACACATCCTCTTGCAGCCCACATCTCACACTCTCCCACATCCCACCAGCCCACTGAAGGCATTCCTCACCCATCCCAAAACTTTACTACACAGAATATGTACCTCAGAAAAGATGCAACATATAAAAACAACAGGCTACAACTGGTCTGAAGAAATCTGGGAAATAATGGGTGAAATTGTACAGGGAGGTTGGTGTGGGTGAACTTCATGTGACACACTAGTGAGTCAGGCATTAGAACATCAGCAAAACTCCCTGGTGGAGTTGCTGTACCAGTCTCCCACTTTTATCTATGAAGGGCAAAATGTGAATGTGGTTTGATTGACCCTTGCAGAAGGAAACTCAGCACTTTATTCTTATAATAATGTTAGGTTTTTAAAGGGGAAAGCATCGTATACGAGCAACAACCCTTTGACACTAACCCAGCTGTTACACAAAGAAGGAGGGTGGTCTGATGCAACAGAGTTTATGCTCTGTATTTAAAGAACAAAACTATTGTGTCGGATCAGAACCTGTCTGTACTTACACCAATATAAAATCAAAACAGATCATTTGTCAGTCTAATTCGTTTGTGTCACAACTCAGCCTAAAAACACTTGTTATAACTGTAGTTATACATTTTAACATTTGATTCATTTAGTTAAAGATGGGCAGGGTGCCATTTTGTACTTCATAATGCCTCCAGTGCAATTAATTTACTTTAGATTTATATACTTCCCAGTTCCAGGAGTTATTATAGTGCACCATGATTTGGAGCCTTAGTTAAGGGCTGAGATGCTTTGATCATGCCCTGTACAAAATGATGCCATGGGGATCTAGCCAGATGACTTAATTTCTCAAAAAGAAAATAAGTTAGAAATACTGTATTCCAATTCCAATTACAGATGGCTAGTGTTTACACAGATGCTGAGCAGTCACACAAAAATTCTGATCTCCACACTGAGAAAAGATTGAGAAAGGAGCAAACAATGGCAAGGCTAAAAGGGCAGCCAATTTCCACCCTCTGTTTCTAACGTAAGTTGGTACCAATATGTTCAGTATCACCAAGCTGTCTTAGTGGTGCCAGAAATCTACTGAGATGCCTGGTTCTTTAGGTTGTAAATGCAGATTTAAATGATAATATTTCTTCAGAATCAAGTTTCCCAAAGCTAGTGTCCTCCAGCTCTTTTAAACTTTATTCCCATGATAAATGTTCACAGGGATTCTGGGAGCTGTCATCAAAACATCTGGAGGGTGCTAAGTCCAAGAAGGCTGCTCTAGGTAGATTTTGGTAGTTGAATGTCATGTCAATTAAGACTACCAGACAAGGACCTGACTCATATCTACTACATGTCTGACCCTACGTAATGCTCTGTGCCCATGCATTTTTTTAATTTAAAGCAACTACTCTCAAATTATTTTAACATTTGTGCTGCTGCTACTAATGGTTGCCTTTCATCTCTGAAGATAATGTATCCTTTTTTCAATTTACCCTTAATAAAATGGGGTTGACTCTGATCATTTTAATGGACCTGGGATTTGTTAAGAAAATCCTTCCTAAATGTTGGCGGATGTTATATTTGTTTCATGATTTCCTCCATTCATTAGGAATTTAAAAATTCCAAAACCCTTCACCACAATCTATGTCTATAAATGTTGGCTCAATGCAAATTCTTCCTATTAATTGCATGGAATATTGGATTGGCCCTGTTTTCATGCAAACAGTAGGAAGGAACTGCCACAACTGGAAAAGGTGGTGACCTACACTATCAGTACTCCCTGTGATCTCTCTGATGGCATTCAGATGGCACTTGCTCAGTATGGAAGATCAGGAATAAGACGTATGCATGCACACTGCCTCCTCTCTCCTCTCCCTGCGTACAGTATTATCATTACCATTATTAGACATCTTTCTTAGAAAAATACTTAAGGCATCTTACAACAGGAATTAAAACGTAAAAATTTAAAATGGCTAAAAATGACTATTAATAAAATGCCAAGACAGCATTAAGAAGTCCATCATATGCTTATCAGTTGCTAATAAGCACTTTCTGATTTGTCAAACCAAACCAGAAAACTGCTGGGTGGGTGATCCCTGCAAGGGAGGATTGTTTAGATCCAATCCAAGAGAGGATTGTTTGTATTCCGGGTTTCCTGAAAAGAGGTACTGTCTGTGAGGATGCCCCAGTAGACTAGGAACCCACCACGGAGGGTTTCATTTATGGGAAAGAAAGAGGGCATGTGGGCATACGCATATAGTTCTTGATTCACCACTGCAAAACAGAAAATCACATGCACCTGGGAAGAAGCCCCAGGCAACTCAGCGGAGCTTATTTCTGAGCAGATGCCTACAGCTTTGCAAACAGAGCCATTCTAGCCTATAAAAGATTGTCTGAACAATGGCATACGCTTTGAATGTGGATCCTATACAATCTTTTGCTTCAAAAGAATAGCTGTGCTGGAAAGGATAGCTGTACTCCTGTCTACTTCTTTGCCTTCTAAGCCAATTGCACGTGTACTTCAACACCAACCAAGATGAGCGCATAAAACAGAAAGGCTTTATTTTTCCTTTTTTTTAAGGAAAAGGTTAATGAAATGGCAATGCATTGCTGTGAGGGGAAAGGGTACGCTTGATCATGTCTGCCATCTCTTAAAAGGCTAACATGTCCCTCTGGGTGCTTGAGTGGCAGAACTGGTAAGTGCATCATCTCTGAAGATGTTTTAGCTTAAGAAATCTGAAGCATTTTTGAAAAGAGCATTGGAAGAACATAAGTGCAATCCTGGATTGGACTAAGTTTGTCTTGTCCAGCATTCCCACAGTGGCCAGATAGACAGCCATGGAAGCCTACGGGCAGAACAACAGCATGACAGCACACTCCTGCTCATGTTCCCCAGAGACTGGTACTGCGAGGAACTCTCAGGACCGAAATGGGTTAGCAGGGATTTCATCTTAACAGACAAACCTGGGAACTGTCGTTCTATTAAGGGTGCTAACGATTTGTAGCAGAACTCTCAGGGGCTCTGGTATAGTTTCCAGGATTTCAGGTTGGGAAGGAGCATAATAGCAAAACTGTTACAAGTAGAAGGAGTGTTGTTTTACTTTGTAGCTAAGCTTGCAATTGATATGCTGGGGGAACCACATTTTCTAAGTGACAGCAATCCATGCAACGGACGATCCAAGGTAGATATCTGGACACTACTCAAGTGGACATCAAAAATGAATTCGTCACACAGAAAGGAGAAACTGCTTAGATTGAAATGAACTTATTCTCTGCTTTCAGCTTGAGTGTCTCAAGCTAATTAGGATGGCAGGTGTTTTGCAGATA